TGAAATCCTCAAATGGGGGAATGTTTAGAATTCAATTATATTCCATCGGTAAACAAACATTGGAATGGAATTTAGTCATTCCAATTTTATCAGATTCCGACGGATTCCGACGAACCAAACGCCCCCTAAAACATTTGCAGCACAAAAAAATCGAGTTTTGAACTTCAAAATAAAGGTTGAACCGTTTTATAAATTTACTGTTACAATTTCAATAATACCAATAAAAAAAGGTACAACTGTTTTTAATGATATATACATTTAATGAAATATCACTATCCATTGTGGAAAAAACATTTATTCCTTACACATTCCAACATGATTTATGGACCATGCCAACATGACTTCAAAGGCCAAAGTGTTTCTTTTAAATGATTGGATTTTTATGATCATATCCTTCAATGATTGAACTCTATTTCTTTTTCATTAACCTGAATATCCAACTTGCTATCTGAGCCGATTAATTTCAGGATGACCATCTATTTTGCAAATAGTTTGGAGTCATCGCATTTGAACATTTGTGACCACAAAGGGATTTTTATTCCTCCTTGGATTTGAACATAAGACCTTTAGACACTTTTGACATTTGGAGTTTAAGCTCAAACTAATCAGGCACCACATTTGTGGTTGATTGAACTCATAATTTCAATCAATCAGATGAGGAGTTATAATTAAGAAAATACAGTTTTTGTTATTTTTACAGGTATTAAATTTATTTAGTCATCAGCGTACTGGTTAAATCTTAAGGGATGTAGTGAAAAACCTTATTTATCCTATCACGATATTCTTAGTCGCCTTTGAATAAAGATCAGTTGTACGACAGCTAAGATGAGATAATGCTATGACGAGTTGAAAAAACTTATATCGGTTAAAATTCTATGTATATGTTGAAAGAACGGTTCTTTGACCCGTGTATTTGTGTCGTTAGCTGCCTTTGTCGACCCGTAAGGCATCTTTGACTTTTTAGTATTGTTTTTGTAACTTCAATCTATTTTGATACCGTGACAGATATTGTATTTGTATCTACGAATTTAACTTTGATTTGAAGAATACAACAATATGGATGCATAAAACGACCGATGATCGGATCGAAAAGGACTGGGACCGCTAGGATTGGTTACGGGTCCGATTTTGGATTAGTTAGGTTTTTATTGACCAACTACCAGATGTTTGCATAAGATAAGTCGAAGCACAAAATGATGAAATCGGAAGAACGAAATGCTTCCACGTAAACAACATAAAGATTTGAAATTTTTGAACGCCCGAAGATGTTGACTCTGTGAAAATAAAAAATAACTGGAGATGGTCAACACCGTTTATCGTGGTTGGCTCACGCCTGACGTCCCGTGATGGTGAAAGCCTCTTAATTTTAAATGTTGTCATCGATATAATAAATTAAAATTTTAAATATTGTCTTGATTTTTAGACTTATCTGGTACACGCTTGCTGATAAAGAGTCCACACACTCTCGCATACCTTACCGGGTAAGATTATAATCCATCAAAACAACATATATCATATGCAGCAATTTTCCAGATAAAAGCATACCAGGTAAGACTCTTGATAATTGTCATCGCTCTTACCAGATAAGATTCTTGGTCCTTGTCATATTCATCTAATAAGGTAAGTGACTCGATAAACACTTACGAAATAAGTGTTTGATAAACGGCCCATAATTAGTGGACACGGTTTTTTCCTCCTTGGATGGACTGAATTTGCTTGTTTTTTGTACCATTCGGACGGGGTCCATGAGGACCAAACGAATGACCGATACTTGTTCATCCATGTACAACATAAAGGAGATTCGATGGTAAATGGGACGAAGATGTCAATCGATAGATGGTGATATGCATTACTTTAAATTTTTTTCATACAATTTTAACGGTTTATTTTATATTATAAAACATTAAAAAGTCTCAGGGTATAACACATAGGTTAAACCTCTAGCGTGCAGCTCAGTTGAGAAAAGGGTGAGACGATTTTGTCTAAATATAAGACCTGGGGCCCTCGCTAGCCTCAACGGCTGAGTGAGCCAAAAAAGGTCCCCTCATATTGGTGTCTTTGGAAGCGGATCTCGTGTGGGACCGGTTGGATTGCCGACAATCAACTTTTTGCCTAAATAACACGTAGTTCGGCATTTGATGCATAATTACAAAGGATTTGTTTGGTTGTCATCAAAATGATATATTATATCATAGGGTTCGGTTCCGGTGAGAAAAGAAGTTATAGTGAGAAGCGTAAGAAGAGATCTTCACACTTGGACCAATTATGATTGAATGTCAACACTAATGAGGTGTACCGAGATACATCAGATCAATTCTCTTTTAAAGCGCAATTCATGGATGGACATGAGATTAAAATTGATCAAGGGTTCAAATTTCATTCCCATTCATTCAAGATCAAATTCCTTTGATGGGATCCAATTCCATCAAATTTCATTGTACGAACCAAACGCCCGTTTAGTTTTCTACATAAAGCTCCCCTAGAAGCATACTGAATAAGACGCTTTCTAAAAATAATAATATAAGAACTCAGATAGTTCAAACTCATATCGTCAGTGTAGTTTTAAAAAATATAAGTGCAATTCGCAAAGACACGTGTTGAAACATTACTGTATCACCCTTCAGAAACGTAATTTTATCCCACTACTACAGAATCATGAGGCGGTGACACGGACCACTATATGCCTCGATATAGGCCCGCCCTTGTATGTGTTTGACAAAATGCCCAAACTAAAAATTCCCAATTTAATATCAAATGCTCAGTTGAGTTCAATCTGATTATTTAATTAGCAAGTCGAATGTAATATATTTTTCTATGTGAAATATGATTTTTAACAGTATATTACATGTGTCCAGAGTTATTCGAACTATGGCCAAGACATGGACTCTAAAGATGGTCAAATGGGCCCGGCTCGGCCCTAGACCGGTAGAGGGCCCGGCCCGAGACGTATTGGTACCACCGATTAAGGACTGGTTATGGTCTTCTCTTCTCATCCAAAACCAAGGCTCGGGATCGGCCCGATTTTTTTTTCAAAAAAATGTATTGTTATATGTATTTCTAGCTTATTAAGTATATTTGATTGAAAATCAAATTACAAATTTACAATAAAAACATTTTTTTTAAATGTATTTGATTGAAAACAAATTATAAAACTATAATAAAACGTAAATTTTAATTGTATTTGATTGAAAACCAATTATAAAGCTAAAATAAAACCTATTTTTTGAGTGTATTTGATTGACCTAATTAGATACTTTAAAGTGTATTAGAATGACAATAAAGTTTTTTTTTTTTTAAATTCATCAAAAAGAAAATTAAAAAAAAATATAAAAAAATGTTTTTTTTTAATATAGGACCAGTTTCGGCCCGGACACCTGGATCGGTTACAAATACCGTTAACCGAACCTTAATATTTTCGACGAAATAAGGATCTGAACCGGTTATAAACATCACTGTTCCGATCCGAGACCGGTTTTTGGCCATCACTAAACTCGGGTGCTATACCCGCGCTTGTAGGTGTTCTATCCTATGTTTTTGATCACCATGTGCATTTGAGTACATGTGGAAAGTAAAAAAAACACATGGTTGTATTCTTTAGAAAAGAACAAACTTGAACTTCTTACTGGAGCAGTACTATAGGCTCGAGTGTTTGGATGCACGTCTACTTCAATTAACATTGGGCAGTTGAGAAACGAGTGAGAAAAACGTTTCCATAAAGATTCAACTACCCATCCAAGAGCATTTGGCTTCAGAATACTTTCTTTTTTCTCTTTTTATAGGGAGGATAATATCTTTTGGCAGCTCAATCCTCACGGTAATAATTCTGCCTAAAAATATCTTCAGGTAAAGAATCCTGTTGACTTATAATGCAGAAATTCAATTTCTAAGGCATTTGAAAGCCCATGTATCTGAGCCTGTCATCCATAGGAAGAGCATTCCTGCAGAATTTTCAGAAAAACAGAATAAACCCATCTTAGGAGGAAGCCACTGGTTCCATAATAGAGACCACCAAGGACTTTTCTAAACAAGAAAAGGAAACAAAAGCATTCTATCAACAAGTTGACCTTCCGATGTTGCTTACTACCAAACCGACAGCTAACCTTGCTTTTCTACCTTATTTTTTAATCACATCTTAGTAACTGTTTTAGGGGCCGTTTACCAAATATTTACAGGGTTATTTATACTATATTATAAAGTATTTGACAAAAACTTTTAAAAATCATTTTTTATACATGAAGTACTGTTTATACGTTACTTAAGATTCAAGATTACAAGTAATTTTTGCGTAAGTACAACTTATTAAAGCTTCATTTTTAAATTCGTATAATTAACTGTAGATAAACATAATCAAATAAAGAATAAACATCCATTTTAAATATAGAAAATCTAAATATAATAAAAATAATCATTGAGTTCTAATAAAATGTTTAATTATTATCTTTATAAAAAATTATATTATTATTTTGTTATTAAATCTAAATTAACTGATAATGAACTAAAGAAGTTACAACAAAAAAAAGAGAACTACTAAATAGTTAATTTGATACTAATATCAATTTTTTTTATTTTATGCTATTTTTAATTTTATATTTTTATTTAAAAATAAAAAATTTATCGCTTTCTTAAAACCACATAAAATCGTATTATATCGACAGAGATAAAATAAAAACTAAACATCAAAATAGAGATTTATCTTGCTGCATTTTGCGAGTACCCTTCTAGTAATCTTTCCACATGCTTGCTCGTCTTGGGATACTGACGTAACTAAAACGCTTGTATCTTAAGAAATTGTCGTTTTACATCAAAAATATTCACTGAAGCCAGATGTTTCCAACTAAAATACGAAAATAGAAAAGTAAAAACGAACACAAGACAAAAACTTCACTCAATATACCATAAAAAGAAAGTCCTGGTCGATTAGTTAGACCTTCTATTTCTATATTTGGCTTGAACGAAAATTTATGTCGAATTAACCGAACTTTTACGATGATCGGTTTCTTGGTTGATTCCTTTTGATAACCTCGATTTCCAATTCAGTCGAGACGGAGTTGTCAATTTCGAAAAGACGTAAACCAGAAAGCAGATGCTGCAATCAATAATCCTGCAAATTAAATAGAGAATTAGACGCGTAACCATTCACAATAATAAATACTGTAAAGTTACAAACTGGTTTTCACGTGTTGTTTCACATATGAAACAAACAATATGTGTCAAAGTACAATACTTACACAATATTGTTTAGTATGTAAAATATTCAAAACTGTTTGTGTAGAAAAAAAAACACTACGACAAAATTGTGTTTACAGGACGTCCCCAATCTCTACGTGTCCCAATAAACCACTTTATAAGACTTAATTTTATAGGACCAAAATATAAAACGTCTTATCTAAAGACGTTGTAAGAAGTTTATATTACGCTTTTGGGCGTCTTAACAAATTTTTTAGGACATTTTTAATACAAAGCGTCGTATTAGCAACTTTATAGGATACTTTTGAGAAAGTGTCATATAAACTCAATTTTTATAGGACACTTGTTTTATATAACAATTTTTCAAATAGTGTCCGACAAAATTGCTAATGGGATGTTTTATAATAAAAATGTCCTAAAAAACTTATTAAGACGCCAAAAAAAGTCATATAAACTTATTACAACGCATTTAGATAAGACACTTTATTTTTGGGTCCTATAAACTAAGTCCTATAAAAAGGTCTATTAAGACGCTTAGAAATTGGGAACGTCCTATAAACTTGATTTTGTTGTAGTGACAGTCATATGAACCTTTCACATATGAAACAATATTGTATAAACATGTATTTTCACACAAATAAAAATTGGTTTCTATGTCTGTACTGGGATCGTAAAAGAAGGGATTTTAAGTCATTATGTACGATTTCACATGGATAAATATTTTAACCGTATAACCTAATAATTTATCTGCTGGCGGCGAGGTTCCTCCGACTGATAATTTGATAACTGCAACAAAACCAATCGGATTTCATTAGTTTTTGATGGGTTGTATCAACACTGCAACAAAATTAAATCTATAGACGTCAAATATGTGTAAATGTTCTAATAGACTGATTTATAAAAGTTAAGTTACAAGACCAAACAAATGTACGTCATATATAAAAGTGTTACCAGTTGACTTGAGATCACGTGAGACCAACCTGTTTTCGTAAGACATGTGAGACCACTTTTTTACACTTGAAATTTCACAACAAAATGATGTGAAGGTAACCTTCACAGTGTTTTTGCTGTGAAAGTTCGACTTTTTTTTACATTTACAGTGTTATGCTGTGAAGTTTCAAGTGAAAAAAAAGTAGTCTCAATGGTCTCACGAAAACAGATTGTTCTCACGTAAACATGACTAGTTTATCAACTACCAATGTAGCTTATCGGTCAGTATCTGACATTTTCAGTTAACAGCTAGCTTTTCAGATTGCTTAGACTTACTTGAATCGCAATTTGAGGTCGAATTCCAACTCCCACAAATACACAACGGACCAAACCTTTCGACATCGTGCCCACAAGATCCGCCCGTGGCCTCGCAAGCTTTACAAAACGAATCGTTACTGACCTCCACGGCAAACTTCACTCGTATCCCGTATCTCCACTCCGATGGACCGCTAACTCGTAATGGTGCTAGCGTATACGCACTACTGTACCCTTGGCACTCCAACTTACTAAGATTCACACCCTTAATTGCCTCGAAATCTAACCCACAGCAAACCGGTGGTCCGGACCCATAACCCAAACCCCCACGAGCCAGTCCAACACTGGTCCAACCCTCGCAACCGTAATACTCCCGGCACCCCATTCCCGAAACGTTTCTACATGGCATATGCTTCGAAGTCGGGAACCCTTGGAACAACGGCGATTGAGCTGAACAACCCAACAACATGAACACATTATCTGGAGTCGGGCTCAGATAAGGTGTTCGCCAATGTTCCACCACGAACCCATTTCCCCGACCGCCGAGCACGATCGAGTCACACGTCGACAAATGCGGGTCGTGTAGGGTCATTGACCGATACGCGTAGTCGATGGTTAGAACCCGGTATGAACCCGAGCTAATGTGGAACATAAGAACATCATTGAAGCAAAACAAGAGGTCTCGATAGCTCGGATGGCCACATCCGGATTGAAGAGCAAATGGGTAATCGACGGTTATGTTGCCACAGTAGGCTCGACACAGATGGGCCGCACCCTGACCCGAGCCATGGATCAGTGGAACCAATGAGACTGTAAACAGAAGGATGAAGATGGGTCTAGCCATGGTTCAGGTGAGAAAGGATGGTGGGTCTGAAAATGTGGGTTTGGATTTGGGAATTGAAGTAGGAATTCAGTGGGGGGATACTTTGCTTGTGATGGTTGAAAAGTATCGTGTGCTTTAATGATACCATTAAGACGTTCATATTGAAAGAATCTGGCTGAATTGTTTAAGGGGTTTTTATTATGCTTTTTGGGGTTTTTGTATTATTGTATTAAGCCTTTTATGATTTTTTTGCTTTAATGTGCTTTTCAAATATAAGTTGTGGACTCAAAAGATTCTAAATGGTAATGGGTGATCTTATTGCAATAAGTTGTGTCTCTAACAGGAATCTGAACGATGTAATTGAAACTTAAAAATGTTATAATGATCGGTTTTGTAATATTTGTCAAGTTTGATTTATGGGTTGTTTGTTTACCTCTTAATAGTTTCATTAAGAGGCAACATCTGAACTGTTAAGAGGTAAATCTTGTTTGGTAAAAAAAAATCTGCCTCTTAATGGTTCTAAAACTCTCTGAATGATTTTGTATCATGGATCTCCCTTAACCATTAAGAGCCCTAATTTCATTGTACACAATTACCAAATAATTATATTTCATTTTGCACTATATCATGAGAGCCTCTTAATCATTCTGATCACTTAATCATTCTGCACCAAATCATTCAACAATTACCAAACAACCCCTTAGATTTGTTGATATTTTATAACAAACATAATTGTTGTTGTTTTAAGGGTCGGAGCCTATCGAGGCAGTAGGAGGCTAAAGCTGCACTGTTTTTTTCTCTATTTAGGATGCGTTTGGTATAGAGAAGTAACTGAATTGGAGGACATAATGACTGAAAGTGATGCAGATGGATGAACAAATTAGTACATTTTAATTAGACATGTGTATTTTAGTAATTTCCCTAAATTTTTATCTCACTTATTCTAGAAAGGAGCAAATTACGTGAAAATAACGTACTTTCAAAACTTCTATTTTGGTACCTAAGATGTAAAGTTCTAAACATTTAAGTATCCGGGTAACTAATTGAAGTATTAACTGGTTACTATACTGATGTCGTATCCAATTCAGTATTATTACATGGACCAAATTTATAGTTTAATCTAATTTTTATTTTATATTTTGACTTGGGCCTGCAAATTTGACTTTAGCCATTCAGCCCAAGTAGTTCGGTGCCCAAAGCGAAAAGCCCGCTCCAGCTCCGAAGAGGGATAGACGGGAAGAACGAAGAATTGAATCAGTGAATTAGGGAATACAGACTACGAACAGGTTTTTTTTGAATTTGTGCCCTAATTTCTGTATTTTTGTTGTAAACTCGGTGTGTATTAGTCTAGTATGTTCATTTCTGTTGATACTTTGATTGATTGATTGAATTTGTATTTGATAATTTGATATCTCGGTAGAATTTGGTTAAGTCGAAAAGGTGAAGAAGAACTGAAATTATCAATTACCAGGAACCATTCACGGGTTGGCTTCACGATCACCAATCACAAGTCACTAGATTTGGTTAATGAGTTCATTCAACAGCAAGAGCCCATAGGTAATTTAGTTTTAGGTTTTCAGTTTCTATTTCGATGGTTGAGTTTATTTTTGTTTTCGGCTTGGATTTTTGTGTTGGTGATTTGGATTTTAGTAAACGTATGATTGTTATTGAGAATTATGGATCAAAGATGCTTACACCAATTAGTTTTTGGCTTGAGATGTGTTGCCTGTCATGCATTAGGAAATATATAAGAAGAGTGATCAAGTTATTACTTGTCTTTTTTTCTGTTATCTGGTGGTTATACACATTATGATTATGATTTTTATATTACCCTTCTTTTGTCTCATCAAGATTGAAACAAATGTTAAGGGCTGTTTGTTTGGCTCTGAGTAGTGCCATCCAGAGCCCACATCTCAATCACTCAGAGATGATTTCTGTTTGGTAAAAAGTTAATCGGCTCTGAATCGTTTGATAATCGACCTCTAGCACCCAGCCAAACCATTCAGAAGCTTTGTTTTTCCTCCATTACCCTTTGCTTTTCTCATTCTGCAGCTCTTATCTCCATATATCGCTCAATTTTATCTCTTGCAACTTATGTCTAGCTTCATGTCCCTTTGAGATTGAGCTTAACGTCAGCAGTAAGCTGTTGCAAATCACAGCAGCCATGTTCGATTAGCAACAATAGGTGGAAACAACCTCGTCCTAATACTAACAACCCCACTTTGATTGATGAAATTCCGTGTTTTGATAGACTTGCGAATGCACTTCTGCACTCTTATGAAATATAAGATTGTGATATGGTTCGAGATGTAGTTACGTCTCTACTTTGCTTATGCAATTGGACCATGTATGAACTATGAAGTTTGTTTTACAAGTGTTATGAAAGTTTAGAAATTTGAGGGCCTCTAGCAACTACCTAAATCAGTGCCGCCGACCTGCATTTTTTGTTCTTTCTTGCTACTGATTTGTTGTACTTTTTTTTACTGATTTTGTTCTTCAAATCCGTTCTTGATACACTAAATTCTTTTTAGACATCAGTAATAAAGATGCAAAATAAAACCAATATAGGAAGTTTGTTACCATGGCCCTGTTCAGTAAAAGAGTAAAGAATTATATTCACTGTGAGAAGCACCATTCTTGATGCACCAAATCAAAGACCAATAGAGCCTCTTAATTCTGACTATTTAACCATTCTGCAACTGCCAAATATCCCCTAAGAAATTATCTCACATTTATGCTGGTGAAGAGCGGAAGTTGACATAGCCATAACAGAGAGATTGGCTGGTGAAAGAGTCACGACAAACCCGAACGGAGGAGAGACTCTTGTAGTATGAGAATGCATTTGTCAATTGTATGTCGTTGATTTCCAGATGCAAATCCCTTACATACAGCGTCGCCAGGACAATCAATGATGGTGATGGTGATGGTGTCTCCATCGTTACACCATCGATTGCAATTTTTCAGTCACAAATAGAGAGTGAATCGTAGAGATCGATGAGAAACAATCTGCATTTCGATAATCGAATTGTTTTTGGGAATTAAATACAGAGAAGAATAAATTTGCTTAGAGATCATGTGTTTTTTTTAGGGAAGATTATCAATTAATAAGAAATTACAAAACAGATTTTGCATGGACGCGGTGATTTGGGTTTCGTCCAAACAACTGAGGTCATCACCATTTCCATGCAAAAATTTGCTTTGCAGTTTCTTATTAATTGATGATCTTCCCTAAAAGGCGCAGGATTTTTGAGCAAATTTGTTCTATTCTGTATTTAATTTCAAAATTCAATTGAATTATCTAAATGCAGATTGCTTCTCATCGATCTCTATGATTCACTCTATTTGTGACCGGAAAATTGCAATCCATAGTGTAATGATGGCGACACCATCACCGTCGTTGTATGTAGGGGATTTGCGTCCAGAAATCAACGACATACAATTGACCAATGCATTTCAGACTAGAAGCGCCTCTCCTCCGTTCGGGTTTGTCGTGAATCTTACACCGGCCGATCTCTCTGTTAAGGCTATGCCAGCTTCCTCTCTCCACAAGACGGTATGCATCGGTTCATATTAAAATTTTGACTTCTTATTGCTAGTGTTTTATATATGATTCTAAAATGAAATTGGTAGACCTAACTGAAGTTTTTCGTGCTGCTTAAATTATGCTTACGACGTGCTAATTTTGAGATGGAAGTGTTTTTTAGTCTTTTATGTGATTCGTTTTCTTCTTACTTAGCTATTTGTAAGGGTTAACTAGTTCATTTTGTAACATACAATTTACAATATAGGTGTATATGAGTATGTTGTTCTTAATTTTGGTGATTTTCCCTGTCGGATGATTTATTTGCATTTTCAGGATTTTTAGCCTTCAAACTGTTTACTTGCGTTGCAGGGAACGTTTATCTCTAGAGGGACTGTGATCACTCATATTTGCTGATGGAAGTTCGTGAAGAATCAGAAGAAAATGTCCCATACGTAAGAATTACATCTGATTTGCATAATGCATTAGGGGCCGTTTACCAAACACTTACCGGCGATAGTCACCACCCTCATTTTTCTTATTCGGTAACATTTTTGGCCATTAAAATGGATTGCTCGTAAGTGTTATTTATCCGGTAAGCGCTTACCTAGTAAGAGTCTTCTCCCTCACCTACCGGATAAGATTACTGGTTCTTATCATACCCACCCGCTAAGGCAAGTGACACCCGGTACCGCTGTGTTCTCAAATTTGGAGAGAAGAGAAAAGAAAAGAAATGGAAGGAAAAGGAAGGGAGGGAAAAGAAAACAGTTTTTTTATTTGTGTTCTCGAAAGGGATGGAAAGGAAAAGAAACAAACTAATTTTTTGTCCTCTTGAAGAGGGAACGAAAGGAAGGGAAAGATGTTTTTCTTACTAATATACTCCTTAAAAAATTTCTTCAATAATCTTTTTAACAATCTTTTTAAAGGATTTAAATTTCTTTCCGTTCCTTTCCTTCCCTTTCCTCCCACATTTGGCAGGGAACTTATCATTATTTTCCTTCCCTTACCTCTCCTTTTTCCTGTAAAAGAGTTTCATGAACACTGTGTTTTTTTACTTTCCCTCCCTTTTCTTTCCTTCGTAAAAAAGGTTTCGAGAGCACAACGCAAGTGTTTGGTAAACAACCCCTTATGTATTCTGGTTTCAAGTGGTTTAGATTCTAAAGAAGGATGGATGTTTGAGTGCTTCTGAACCCATTGTGACTTGTATGACCCATTCTAGCAAAATGTCATTTTTTTTACTTTAACTCAACTGACGTGCCATAAATCTAAACTTTGCCCAAATAAACCCAGAAAGTTAAAACAGTGACCCAATTAAACCCCATTTTTCAGAAACTTGTGTCAAATTTACCCCCTCTGGCCCAACCATTAGTTCTCTTTTGCTTTCAACAGGTTCAATTAGGGGCCGTACGTAACCAAACGCTTACCTGGTCACTTATCTTACTGGTTGAGCATAGCAAGGAACGAAAATCTTACCCGGTAATAGGCAAGGATCAAGAGTCTTAACCGGTAAGTGGCAGAGGCACCCTAGAATTTTTTTTCAAATGGTGGCACCATTTGACTATAAAAACAAAGCTATGGATATTTTTTACAAAATTATCATTGGTCTGTTAGTTCGTTCCTTGCTTTTTGTATGTGAGGTCCTATGTTCGAGTCTTTTATCCCAAATTTTTCAGAAAGATAATAAAAACCTGGAATTAAAAGCTAAAAACTAAGAAAACGATACAAATGGGATTTGAACTCCTGCCTGGAAGAGGAGGAAAGACTATGTAAACCAACTCTATCAAGAGAAACTTATGTTATTATTGTAGTTTCAAGGAATATATGGTTGGCATCTTTCACAGCCCTAGATTTTTTTAGACTACAATGGAGGAACGAAGCGGTAGTCTGTGCCACAGTATGCACCATAGTGGGTCCTCTTCTGAAGTGAGGGTGGTGAATCTTGCCCGATAAGCATTTACCGGGTGATAGACGCTTACCAACAATCCATTCTGATGACCGGGACTATTGCCCAATAAGGTACGTAAGAGTGGTGACTCTTGCCGGTAAGCACTCACCAAGTAAGCAAGTGTTTAGCAAACGACCCCTTAGCATCATCATATAGGCTTCAAATCCTAATCATCCAAAGATGGTCCAAATTGTATCGATTACAATTAATATGTCACTCCAACTGAATCATGCCGTATCATTTTCATTTTGAACACAGAGAACTTCAAAGTTGGCTGGAACTGTCAACTGGGGAACAGCAACTATCGTTGGAGTATTTGCTGGCATGTTATATGGAGGCACCAAGGAAGCCTCTGCTTCTGTTGTAAGTATAACTATACAGAAAATAATCTTTCATGGAATTTATGAAGTCATGGGGTTAGATATATCTTCAAAAACTCGGACTGTAATTTTTTACATTCAAGAATTACTAGCAGCCTGATAAAATAGTAGCGAGGAGGCTGAGCAAAAAAATTGAACATGCAAAACCTTTAATTGGTTGATATTTATATACACATTTCCTTACATTTAGCACTCGCTAAAAAAATCGGATTTATAGGATACCAAATATATCCGAGTGTCCTAATAGACTACTTTACAGGACTTAAGTTTTTATAGGACCAAACGTTTGTGTGTCTCATCTAAAAGTATTGCAAGAAGTTTATAGGATGCTTTTGGGCGACTTAATTTGCCTTTTAGGACACTTTTGAAACAAAGGGTCTTATTAGTCCTTTTATAGAAGTATAGGACGTTATTTGAAAGTGTCCTATAAAAAAATGTGTTTATAGGACACTTCGCATAAGGCATAAGTGTCCTATAAAAGGGCTAATAATAGGACACTTTGTTTTAAAAGCGTCTCATAAACTTATTACAACACTTTTAGATAAGACATGCAAGTGTTTGGTCCTATAAACTTCAAGTCCTATAAAGTAGTCATTTAGGACGCTTAAAACATTTTTTGGCATCCTATAAACCCGATTTTGTTGTAGTGAATTCTAAGTTTTCTGATGATATCATATGGATTTTGCCCTTGTATGGACGTATTCTCAGAGCAAGGATGCTGAAGTAACGTTGAAACTAGGGAGCACACCTGACAAGCGAGAGCAATATCGATTGATGAGAGATGCAATGGAGAAAAGGTTCATACGAATCACTCGTGGCTCAATTGTAGGTGGTGTTCGTCTTGGAATGTTCACTGCTGCATTTTATGGCTTGCAAAATTTTCTTGCCGAGCAAAGAGGAGTGCATGATGTCTATAATGTCGTTGGAGCTGGTTCTGCTACGGCTGCTACATTTGGTCTAATCAGTAAGAACTTTCAGAAATTATATCACATTTTTACACATTTTCACATTAAATCTCATCATCCTTCAGAGACTCACGTTCTTACCCATTGCTTAGATTTGCGACAGCAAAAAGTATTTGACCTTGGAACGGATTAATGCACTTGATTTTTTATGGACTGCTAGCAATTGACATCCGATTGTTGCACATAATGGGGTATTGGGGTATCTCTTTGGTTTCATCCACATATCTTATGTAAGGATCAACATTTAGTTTGGGGTTCTTCATGGAAACAACTGCTCTACTCTTCGAGGGTGGAGGTCAGGTCTGCTTATATCTTACCCTCTCCAGACTCCACATCTGATGGGGATATACCGGGTCCGTTGCATACATCTTACTATCCCGAGACCCCACTCCGGATGGGGTATACCGGGTCCGTTTGGTAACATTTTGTTTGAGTGTCTCTTTCCCCTTCCTCATAAGGGATTTTTCAAATGATTTGATATTTTGCCAACTGAAATGCAGTAGCTAGTGGATGCAACTGTTTGCTAGAGGAAAAACAATATCAAACTCATTTTTTCTTTTTTCCCTGACGTTTCAGTGCCTGGATCGCTTGCCTGGCGTGGAAGGAATGTCCTGTTGGGTTCAGTATTGGGCGCAACAGTTTGCTTTCCATTAGGTATTCATCTGAATGCTTAGCTTGTTCCATCTAGTTTCCGTTTACTAGTAGTACTCTCTTCGTGCTTCTGCTGACTTTGATGATACGATTTTCTTTAAGCAATGGTATGAAGTATATCAAATTTAAACAAGAAAGTAGAAGAGAAAAAGAATGCCATGAAAAAGGAGATGTCATAGTTTTTATGCTCTTTTTTTCTCCAAAATGGAAAAAGTTGGAGACCGGAAATTTTTTACAAATTTGAGCAATGTTAAGAGTGATCTTCCACCTCTATCATTGCTTCTACCTCGACCTCTATCACCACCACCACCGCCGCCGACCACCTTCTTCTCTGCCACAATCACCACCTCCTCTTCCACTACCACCGGTAACCACCATATAAACAAAATGTAGAAGCAACTTGTCCGGCCCAGCCGGTTAGTCGTGCCAATTATCAAACACCAGACAGACATGTCCAGTCCAGTCCGGGCTAATCTCTTGTCATGTCCAGTAAAGTTCTGTCTGTCTACCAAATACTGACTTAGAGTAAGAGAGGTTGAAGGTTCAAGTCTTTTGGTGAACATATTTTACAATTTTTTTTAAATTAAAATAAGCAGCTCAACAAGCCCACCCACAACCCACCAATGAATTAGCCGGCCCAACCTAGTTTTCTTTGATTAACATATATATATATATATATATATATATATAGAGGGATGTTATTCTACACCCTTTGCCATTCCTACACCCTATACAACCCCCATCTCAACCATTCAATTTTTAATCAATTAATTGTTTCCTAATATAAAGTATTAATCATAATTAATAAACTCTATTCATATTCCATAAATATTCAAATCATAATAAA